TGAATGAAGCGCTATCATGGAACGCTGGAGTTCTTAACTTCTCGCCAATAATCCATAAATCTTTTAGCCTTCGTACAGAAAGGATCTTTAGCGGTTGTTTGGCAAAATTGTTTCTGACATATGAAGAAAGCCTATCTTATAAAACGTCACCCAGCATAAAATATTTCACCCCTCAGCATTCATTTACTATTTATCTCATTCTGTTCAATTCTATCTTCAGTATGGGGAATTATTTTTGTTGCGTCGGCATAAAAACTACTTTATTAGTGATTTGGTTTTATAATTTGGCAACTAAGTTTCCCCGCTTTACAGTACCTCTACGTAACCGTTAGTTCTATTTTAATGATTTCTTTTCTTACCTGTGAAACTCTTCTGGTTCTTGGCTTTCCCTACGACCTACGATCTTCAAAAAATTAAAATGCTACTTACAATGCGAGCCGATTACGACCACATCACAACACCGAACCGGTTCCCGTACGATCACCGAAGTTAAGCAACATGATCAGCTAGATGGGTGACTGCTTGGGAATACTTGGGATATTATGTATGGGTGATATAATGGATAATGGCTCAGAATTGTTAATCGGAGAGCCAAACTCCAATTCCAGTTGGGTTCGTTATATTCACTTACGCGAAGGTACCCCTGGGGAAAATTATGAATCTACCCCTTATTTCCCTCCATTAAGACTTGTATGTCTAAATCCTTATTATCTCCAAAAGATTTCTTACAATCTAAAAATATTTTCTGGATTTAAATAAGTTGAAAAGTGTTGATAAGCCGTAAAAAACGAATCAATCGATCGAAAAGTTTGTGCAAGATATTACTATAGGTGAAAGCATATGAGAAGAATAAAAATATTATTAAGGAGAGATACCATGTCAGGACCTATAGCATTTCAGATTCTTCTTTGAGTTTTTCTCAATCATGAGATACTTAGCAGGAGCACCTGTCCAGATACAGTAGCAATATTTAGTATATATATAATATTCTTAAAAGAGTGCTCAGTACAGAGTAGAGCAAATATAATTATTTATTCGAAAATTATAACATAAATATGTTTATAAAATCACTACATCTTTATAACATAATAAATAATTATATATATATATATATATATATATATATATATATATATATATATATATATATATAATGAGAAAGAGAAGAAGGCAGAAAAGAGAGAGAGATAGTGAGACAGACAGATAGAAAGATATGTGTGTGTTTCTGACTGTGTGTTTGTTTTTGGAGCTTCATGCGTAGGTGCGCGTGTGCAGGTGTGTGTGTATAATCAGTCCTAAACCCAAATTCCGCGCGCACATATGTTCATATTGTACAAGGTCATAAAATTTAACTTACGATCCGTTACGATACATGGCAGAACATTTCCGCTCGGTTGAGCCCAGATTGTATAAGTCATATATTCGACACAGAAAGGAATAAACCATTGCCGTTAAATAGATTTCAATCCATTTTAATATATTTATGTATTTCTTGCTTACCCATATGTTTTCAACCAATGTATAGACAGCGATAGACTGGGATAGATATATTGATATATAGTAGCAAGAGGTAGACATTAACAGAGATGATATGTATGTATATGTATAGTTAGCCATTCGTATTCCAGTGAACAAGAGCCTGCTTTGCTGCCTTTGTACATGTGTCTTGACTTTACACCTGAAATACATTACACCTAGTGCATAACTGTACTCACATCCGCTATTTGCTTTTTGTGAACGTTCGACAAGCTTCTATGAATGTCAATAGGTACAATTTTCTCATCTTCATGAGACATCGCTGTTTTCAGCACTACTCGCTTTCATGCCAGGCAGCATTTTACAAGCCTCCTAATCTGTAACAAGGCAAAATAAACTTTTTTTTATTAGTGAGAAGAAGGAAGCTTTTCTGGCATACCATCAACATCCGCCTTTAATTTGTTAGCCAACATTATATCAACTTGTATCTATCTACCTCGTCTAATTCTGTCTATTCATTTTATTTTGTGTCTTACTTGATCAAAATGTTAATTCTGCGAAATATGAAATGCTGCCATCATTCCTTGAGTCATGGGAACGCTCAACGGTCTGGTTAAAATCCCAGTGGTTGATCTCTCAGTGTTATCTGCAATCTTGGTAAAAATGCTTAACCGTTGCTTGAAGGAGAGGTGCTTTCAAAGGTATCAACAATGTTCTCTGTATTGAAGAACGTGGGTGATTTTTAATCACAATATTGACCAATTAACCTCCTTGGTGACACATGGCACAGTGGATAAAGGCGTTAGTTAGATCCAGTGACAGGACCCAAAGAGTGTGAGTTCAATACCTGGCTAAGGTGGTGGAGAACTTGGAGATAACTGATAACTGACATCCTTTAGACATGGCATGTGGAACTAGAACAGTCTACCCCAGTGAGTGAAATAATGGGTTCAGTTCGACATTCCAACCACCTGAAGAAATATGGCAACAAAGATGATGTCAATAGTCCGAATAATGTAAAGAGGATTGTTGAACACCTCATCAGGAACAAACTCCTGATGGATAAATGATGAATTTCGCTTTGCTTAATGTCTTAACTATCATTACTCGTGGAATCAGCGAGACACAAGACCAGGGTTTCCCAACCTGGGGAATATCACCCACCTATGTGGCCATTGTGGGCGATGAACACCTGAACAGAAAATGGTAGGCGATTGGAAATTTTGGTGTATGATATGGGATTTTGCGTATTAAAAATGTGCTTCAATATATGCCACCCGATAAAAATATTCAAAGCAGATTTGCAAAGAACATGTATAAAAAATAGGAAGATAAATTAGTATAACTGGGTCACATTCCGATATAAGCTATAAAAATCCCGGTAAACGAGGAATATTATGGTATTTCTATAGTTTTGGGAAGGGTTATTAACATTGAAATAGTTCTTCAAACGAAATAACATTTTTCGGATTGAAATCAGATAAGAAAACGCCAAGAACAACAAAAGATTCTTTGAATTTTTATTAGTCGCTAATAGTGTATATTCTTTTTTATTTTATTATTATGAACAAAAAGCCTTCAATTTTTTGACAAAACATTGCAACGCAAACCCTAACCATTCATCACCCAAATCATGAAACTAACCTTGACCATAAAAGTAAATTGTTTTCAGTGGTCAAGTTTGCTTTTGTTTGCTCATTAATACGTTATTAGCAGCAGCAAATGCCGCATAAGTCAGCGTTATTTGTTACCTCCATTTTGGTATTTTTTACTCCATCATAAAGTCAGTTTATGAACCAGTAACAAACTTTTACCAAACAATTTTGGTTTGCTTTTGAATATTTACTATCCAGGTGGACGGTGGAAAAGTTTTCGATGTGAAAGTGGATGATGACGCAAAAAAGACTGGCAACCCCTGCACTAGACAATTAATTCATCACGTGGACCATCGCCTTAGATATATTAAATGCTTTTGAGAAGGTATGTCATTGGAGAAACTCTCCAGTCGGCGCTCCTCAGATCTCTTTTCTTGGTCCTACCCTCTTTCTGCTCTAAGAATATACTCAGATCTTTTGTGAATACCTATGCAGATGATACAGCAGTTCATAGATGCACCACCAAAAATCTAGAATACCAGAAGCCGATCTCTCCTTTGACGTCGCCATGGTGGCAAAATGGATGCTAATTTCAAAAAGAGTCACTTTTTCTCGGCCTAACGTTCTCGGCTGACATGAAGTGAAAAGACTATATTGAATCCATTGCTAGGTCAACTGCTAAGAAAGTCGGTTTCCTACGTCGTGCAATTTTTTTCTCTCTCCAGAATGTACCTTACATATCTATAAATCTACCATTCATCCACACTTGCTGCCACATGATTCGTCATAAAATCCAAAGAAGAATCAGCAATATTATTGGTTCTGATCTGGCATCTCGACATCAGTCACTTTCCCACTGCTGCAAAGTTCCCTCTCTGTGTCTTTTCTATAAATATTTTCATGGCAGTTGTTCGGATGAGGTGTTCACAATTCTGCCTAGACATTATGAATATAAGCGCCTTATTAGACTGGCAACGAGGTCTCATCGATATAAAGTTGAGTTGACTTGATGTAACCGTAAGTTCTATGCTAACAGTTTCTTTTCTCGCACTTCTCACTTGTGGAACTCCCTTCCGGCTCAATGCTTTCCAGCCGACTTTAATCTTCAAAAATGTAAATGCAATGTCAATCACTATCTGCTGTCCTCTTGATTACTCTTCTCTGTACTCGCTACTTAGTAATGGTTCAGTTTTCCATTTCGTCCGCACCTAGTAACCCCTTTTTTCTTAGTGGCTTTACTCCCTTGCTTGGGGTAAACTTGATTAAAAACAAGTCAAAATGCAGACATTACTTAAGATGATATTAAATAATTACTCGACACTATTCTTTCACACGCTCCACTTCTATGTGTGTATTCGTGTTTATTTACGTTATAATATGGTGGCTTGTCTATTTTAATATATATCTTTTATTCCAGTAAGCAAGCCCTATAGTCGAGTAAGTTCTTCCATGCATAAGATGGAACCGGAGAGGGTCGACCAGAGCGTATAATGACGAACAGTCTGTCATATTTTGTCAGTCGATAACATCGGTTCATATATATATATATATATATATATATATATATATATATATATATATATATATATATATTTATTTTATTCCTTTTTAACAAGAGTAGCATTAAGGTCAGGAAGGAGCGGTAAAATATGGAGGGATAATTACGGAGGAAAGCAGAAGAGAAAAAAGGGCAGAAAAGAAGATGGAAAGAAAAAAAGAAGGCAAGAGGGAAATAAGGAAAGTTGGAAAGAGGGGCAAAAAAAAATCAAAAGAGTCGGGAAAAGAAAGTTGGAAGGAGGGAAAATGGAAAGAAAAGAACGACTGAGAAAGAAGACTACTACAAGAACAATAAGTACTACTAAAACTAATACTACTACTAATAATAAAACGAAAGTAAAAGGGGTAAAATATTGATAATAATGATAATGATTATGAAGGGGCGAAAAGAGAAGTGTAAGAAGAAAAGGAAGGAAGGAAGGAAGGAAGGAAGGAAGGAAGGAAGGAAGGAAGGAATGAAAGTGCGAAATGCGAAAAAAGAAGAAAAAGTGGAAAAAATTGAAAATTAATACGAAATACGTACATAAACAACAGGAAACTTGTAATAAAGGAATGAGGCAAAAATAAGAAACTGGTAATGAGTGAATGAAATAGGAAAAAAGGAAGAAATAATCTTGAAAAAGATAAAAAACATAATTGAATGAATATGAATTACTTTTACTACTACTGCCATTACTAATAATCAGAATAATAATAAAAAGAAGAAAAAAAGAAGAGGAAGGAAGGAAGGAAGGAAGGAAGGAAGGAAGGAAGGAAGGAAATGTAAAGAGAAAAGCAAGGGCAATGACAAAGTTTGTGAAAGAAAGAAAGAAAGAAAGAAAGAGATAAAAGCAAGGGAAATGATAAACATTGTAAAGGAAAGAAGAAGAAGAAGAAGAAGAAGAAGAAGAAGAAGAAGAAGAAGAAGAAGGTAAAAGTGTGAAATATTGATAATCATAATAATCATGAAGGAAGAAAGGGAGTGAGAAAAGCAATAATAGTGATAAAGACTATGAAGGAAAAAGATGATGATGATGATGATGATGATGATGATGATGATGATGATGATGATGATGATGATGATGATTGAAGAGATAAAGTTAATGAAAAAGGGAACAGAGACGAGTGGTAGGAAAGAAGGAAGAAATATGTTGGAATATGAGAAAGATAAAAGTGGAGGTACAAAATGGAAGAGGAATAAAAGAAGAAGAAGAAGAAGAAGAAGAAGAAGAAGAAGAAGAAGAAGAAGAAGAAAAAATATAGAAAGACGGGTAGAAAGCCTGCCGAAATAATGAAGAGGGTATTAAGGAAAGAGAAGAACTATAGAAGTGGGTGGAGGTAGAGGAGAGAACATGCAAATGGAATCAAAAATTCGTGATAAGAAGGAAAACGCGGCATATTTCTATTTTACAATGATGTTTTCCCTGTCCAAGACGTGAGGGTCTCTAATTCTTAAAAGAAAAACACAAGAAATGTTTCAAGTCAAAGTGGTTTATAATTTTCTTTGAGAGTCTCCGTTGAAAAAGAACGAAATCCTTTTTTATTTGTACTTTTTTAATAAATAAATAAATACTGAATTAGTTCGGATTGAACCTGACGACTATCTTAAGTGGGTTTTACACTCAAAGGAGCTGCATTGACAAGATCTCTCTTTTTTTCTTTTCTTTTTTCTTTTTGTTGTAGCGGAAAATTTCACGGAATTTTGCCACCTCACTTATCGTTTGCGGTTGGTGAATTTAAAACTCGAGTCGGAAAACTTCTGAGAACAACGTTATTTAGCCACTAACATGGCGTGTTTAGAGTTAAAAAAAAAAAAGCCAATTTTGTCGTCCTAAGCAAATGGAAGCCCAGAAAGAAGAAAATGGAAGGTTTGCATTGCTAATAATATCAGTTTAATCGGGGAGGGGGGGCGATTTTATTAGGCATAAATTACTTGTTGCCGAAAAATTATTTTCTAAGCGTAACCGAAAGTGTACGGCACTCAGCGAGGATCGAACTCGCTACTCAGTCGTAATTGATCTAACGAGACAAGGAAAGCTGACTATTACACCACGTCGAAGTTAAAGGGAGTGCGAGGTGGCGTGATGGTTATTAACACAAAAAATGATCGCTAAATGGAATTCGAATTTTGATCCAGGCTGTTTGTATTCATTTAGCGTTGATTCCCTTGGGAAAGACTTGGATCCACCCCTCCCTGTGATATATCCGATCGTAAATATCTTAATTTATAGCATGCCAAGATGCTTAAAGGGAGGAGAGACTGAGGGAAGATGTGGTAAACGAGTTTTTCATAATTATAGGCACAGTACTGATAGCTAAAACTTGAGGGTGAAATTTATTCTATTACTGGTAATGATTGCCACGAATAATGCATTGGAGAAATCTCAAGAAATTTAAATAAAAGATTATATGAATACAAAAGGGACATTTTACAAAACATTAAACGTATTAGTTGCTCATTGTAAGGAGACTGACGAAAGATTTTTTTGATTTAAAAAATGCTACTCTAATTAAAAGGGAAAAATTCAATTCACGAAAATGTTTAGATAGTGCTTTAATTCTTCATGGGGACGACATTTAGTATTTTGTTGTGCCTTGTTTATTTGGGCTTCAATATAATATAATTCTTATTGTACTTTTCTGAGTCCCCTTATTGGTGGTATTAATATTTCTCTCTATACAATTATATCTTTGTGAATACGATAATACATGTCTTCATACGAAACAATCATTTCCATATCTCAATGTAAAGGAAGTACTTGTCAAAGATGACCTCAAATTGAGAATTCTCCTGACCGGAAGTTGAATCCAATGCTATTGTTAAGATTTTTTCAAGCCGGAACATCTTTTCCTTTTTCTTATTATCGTCATTTTCCTGCATCGCACTGAAGTTCAAACAGGTGGAGAAGACAAAATAATTTGTAATAGAGCCTCATAATATAAAGGGTCAAAGCTGAGTCCGTGGGATTTTTATTCTGTTGAGTATCCCGACCTTCATAAGGTCAGCCATTGGTGTAAGGGGTTTCTGAAGATTTGATGGATACCAACAAAGATTGTTCGTATCTGTTGGTTCATAATGAGGAGTTCAGACCGACACACACACACACACACACACACACACACACACACACACACACACACATATATATATATATATATATATATATGAGCGTGCGTGCGTGCGTGCGTGTGTATGCGCGCGTATTTCTCGGACTATAGATAAAAATTAATTTCCGTTTCCGATACGAACAGGAAAGCTAGAAGATCTGTGCTTCGAAAGGCCTGAACGAAAGATGTGCATTCCTTCATAAGGATAATTCAACTTGCATTGCCGTGAAGGTCTTCGTGACTGAGTTGCTCTAAAACCACGCTAGATTATACAGTGGTTTGCCTTACATAAGGTGGATGCAGATTCATTCACACACACACACACACACACACACACACACACACACATATATATATATATATATATTAAGACATTTTTATGTTTATACATTCCTTTTATAGATACAAATATTTGAGTAAATGCTCTGTTTATAATAAACAGTATTAACAACATTTATCGGCCTGAATGTCCGAGAAATTTTCATAAAGAATATTGTCCTCCGAATATTTGCTAACCGAACGATACTCTGTGGGCTAATCGGTTAACGTATATCAGGCTATATGACGGTTCCGTATAGGATACAGGTTCGATTCCTGTCGGAGGACGAATATATATATATATATATATATATATATATATATATATATATATATATATAGAAGTCAACACTTAGAGGCGACAGTCTGTTTCAGAGACGCAATCGTCAGGCTTGACGATTTCGTCTAGCATGAAACAGACTGTCGCCTCTAAGTGATGACTTCTATGTTCACTTGTATATTTACACACGCTCTGTCTCTGATATTGAGCACTTTATCCATAAATAAATAAGACTACATCTTAAGACTATATTTATATATATATATATATATATATATATATAGAGAGAGAGAGAGAGAGAGAGAGAGTGAGTTTTAAAGTATTTTTAAGGTATGCTTTATTTATGGATTAAAGTGCTCAATATCATGGATAGAGCGTATATAAATATAAATGAAGACATGTGGCCTCTGAGTGTTGACTTCAATATCCATTTTTTATATATATATATATATATATATATATATGTGTGTGTGTGTGTGTGTGTGTGTGTGTGTGTGCGTGCGTGCGTGTGTGTATAAAGATAGAGATGACCCCAAAATTGGACGTAATCGAATAGAAACAGACATGAATAGGCTGCTGTAGAAAGGAACCGATACTGATATATATATATATATATATATATATATATATATATATATATATGGAGAGACAGAGACAGAGACAGAGGCACAGAGAGAGACAGAGGCACAGAGAGAGACAGAGGCACAGAGAGAGACAGACAGATGGACAGACAGAAAGAAAGAAAATGAAGAGAGTGGAAGATAGATAGATAGATAGATAGATAGATAGATAGATAGATAGATAGATAGATAGATAGATTAAAAGACGAAGAAGATAAGATAAAAGATATATAAACAGAGATAGATGGACATGATCAGTGGTAGATAGACAGACAGACAGAAGCGGTGACCAATGTTAACGTCTTATTTATGCCTTACTACCCCTGCTTAAGAGACATCAACTAAATTAACCAATCGTAAATCTCTGCTACGGCGTTCAGTGTTTGGTAGTGGCGGTAAAATGCTTTCCAATTGGCCTGGCAATCTGTCGGCCATGCAAACCGGATTCAGAATGCCTGTCATTAAAGATAAACAAAGTTGTTTCTTCAATATGAAGGCTGGTGCCTTTCAGTGAGAAGCGAGAGAAAACAAAAATTCCGAAGATTAGTTTGAAAATGATACCTTTAATATGGGGCACCACTGCCTATTATATTTTTTTGTTAATACACACACACACACACACACACACATATATATATATATATATATATATATATATATATATATATATATAAAAATATATATATATATATATTACATATATAAAAAAATTATATATGAATATGATGGAAATTTTTATTAGACTTTTATTTAGTTTTTCTAAATTTCTTGCAATTTTTCTTTTATGAAGGCTAAAACATTTAACAACTGTTTGTAATCATTATTGATCCAAAGATGGGGGTAATAATAAGTCCACTTTGAAGTACCTTTAAAACACCGCTAACACGTTTTTTTCCAAGAATCAAAGTTTTACAAACATACAAAACACTGATGCCTCGAAAACCAAACTACTTACCTTCCATTATAAGGCAGGATCAACATTTTGAACCAGGTCTCCATACCCACATTGACGTTTTCATAAAAGCAAAAACACCAGATTTCTTTAAACGTGACATCGAAAATTTGTATTCGTTGAAAATAATGGTGATTACATTTTTGAAAAATAATATTCAAATCGTCCGTGTATTAAATACTGTTGCCATACCTGGTCTCGTTTTCCTGCTGGATATCTCAAGATTTTTGACAAAATCCAAAGGATCTGTAATATAATCCATTCTGGCCTGGCATCTCGGCTTCAGTCACTTTCTCATCGACCTGACGTAGCTTCTCTCTCTCTTTTCTACAAATATTTTCATGACAAATGTTCTTTTCTTTCACCCCTGATGACTCCGACTATTTGAATTTAAGCGTACTACGAGGTTGGTAACTAAGTCTCTCTGTTTTTGCTGTTGAACAATCTAGAAGCCACCGCAACATCTACTCTAAAAGTGTCTTTTTCTCACAATTCCCACCTGTTGAACCCCGTTGATTCCTTGATAACTACAATCTTAAAAAATTTAAATGTAACGTCAACCGCCATTTTCCGCCCTCTTGAACTTTTTTTTTGTCCTTTCCTCAATCCTCCTCATTCTCGGTTTTCTCATTCTCTTTCACTCTTTGTAAACCCCGCCCGCTGACTTCTGATAACAATGTCGCCTTACTTGGGGTGAAATGATTAAAAATAAAAAAATAAATCATTTTTCATACTTTTTTTTATTAAAACGTCATTAATTTTCGATACTATACAATTAATTTCCAAATATCGTAATATTTTGAAAATCGGAAACTTGATTTTTACTAAGCATTGGTTGAGAGAAGATTATGACACTATTGTTGTTGGTACTATCGACATTATTAGGACTGTTGTCTTCATCTTCGTTGCCATAATCACGGTTATACGGATTGGAATTTCAAACTGAACCATTTATTTTATCCACCAGAGTAGATTGTTCTAGTTCCACATGCCATGCCTTGATGTCTTACTGTCAGTTATCTTCCTTTAACTTCTCAACAAG